AAAAAGAAAAAAAAAAAAAAAAAAAAAAAAAAAAAAAAGCAATTTCAAGCCGTCACCAAACACAAGACCTGAACAAAGCTGAAGAAAAGAGTTGGGGAAAGCTTGATCAGAGGCTTAAAATAAAAAGGGGCGAGAGGGAACAGATAGTCTGAAAATTCAAAAGTAGAAAAGGATATCGACTAAAAGACGAAAATGACACAATCAAGGCAGACACTCTCTGTAGAAGAAAAGAAAGATCTGGTAAATTATCTGAATTGATTGGATCCTCCATTCACTCTCAATCCATCTTTTTTAGCCCATTCGCTTTCTTTCAGACTTTATTGCTTGCTTTTTTTTCATTCTATGTCTTGCTATGACCCTCTATTAAAATGAATAGGTCAAGCCGATGCCCCTGTGGCTCAGACTGGACTCGAGAGAGGATATGAAATGAGAGAGATAAGAGGTGTTGAGAGAGTCATGCTATAGGGGATACACCTCAGAAATTAACGTTAATTCATCTATCTGATAAAGATATCTTCTTTAGGGTGGGAGAAAGACACATACAAAAGATATTTTCTTTACAAAAAACCCTTTTATTTAACATGCAACTAACATTGAGAAAGAAAGAAAATGTCATTGCCATTTTATATCTCACATTTGCGACTGTAACTGTATATTTCGCAATTGCAACTTCATTTGTAGTAATAATTGTGACTTTCTATCTCACAAGGTCACTTTATATCTTTCAGCTTACAATTTCAGCATTGTTTTACACTGTAACTGTATATTTCTCAATTGTAATTTTATATTTCACAATTGCAGCTTTATTTGTAGTGTCTGTGACTTTATATCTCGTAATGTCACTTTATATGTCACACCTGCGGCATTGTTTTGCAATGTAACTGTATTTCATAACTGCAACTTTATATCTCACAATTACAACTTTTTGTTTCACATTTAAACTTTATATTTCACAATTGTTACTTTATTTGAAATAATTGCGATTTTATATCTCACCGTGTCATTTTATATCTCACGTTTGCGACTTTGTGTTTCGCAATGTACACTAACTGTATACTTCACAATTGCGACTTTATTTGTAGTATTTGCGACTTTGTGTTTCGCAATGTACACTAACTGTATACTTCACAATTGCGACTTTATTTGTAGTATTTGCGACTTTTTGTCTTGCAGTTTCATGTTATATGTCACATTGTGTTATGCAATGCAACTGTATATTTCCCAATTGCAACTTTAGCTAACACTTTCTATGAAGCCCGTATTTATAATACATTATAAGAGTATTCTTAAGGCATTATAATGAATGAATAATGTATTATAAAAAAAACTTTTAATATGTTGTATCATCTCATGAGTAATCATAATAACAGTTTTAATGCATTATAATGTTTACTTATTATTGCTTTTAAGATTATGATGATTTATAATACACAATGAACACAATGCATCCACTTAACTTACAATGGATTGTATTTCCCATAGATATAATGTATTATAAGTCTTGCACTTGTTACAGTAACTTGTTACTTTACTTAAAGCAGACAAAGACCACTTATAAATAATAACAACAACAATAACCTTTTTTTCTTAAACAGCCATAAAATCAGATATCTGGTCAAATGAATGTGTAACATGGCACATTTGATTTTAAATATATTTAATGTAATATCAGTAAGATACTGTAGAGATCTTAAATAAATAATGTCAAGATATGAGACTTATAATCCATTAAAATTAAATGGATTTAAGTTAACATGGTGTTTATTGCATGTTATCAATAATCATACTCATAAAAGTTATAACCACAAATAACTAAGTTTTATAATGTATTATAAGAGATGAAACAACATCTTCTACGTTTTTTATAATGCATTATGCATTCATTATAATGCCTTAAGAATACCCTTATATTGTGTTATAAAAAAGGGCTTCATAGAAAGTGTTACCCAACTTTATATCTCACAATTACGACTTTGTGTTTCACATTGCAACTTTATATTTCACAATTGCAACTTCATTTGTAGTAATAATTGCAATATCTCGCAATGTCCCTTTATATTTTACAATTTCAGCATAGTTTCATATTGTAAATGTGTATTCCACAGTTGAGACTGAATTTGTAGTAATTGCGACTTTATATCTCGCAGTATCATTTTATATCTCACATTATCTCACATGTATATTTCAAAATTCAACAAATAAGTTGCATTTTTTTAGTATACAGCATCGGATGCAGCGACTGATAACTACAGAAGTTTCTGAAACCTCAAAAGACATCTAGTGTTAGGTCAGAAGGAACAACATAACAGATAAGAAAACTAACACATAAAGAGATTTAAAAACCACAACCATACGGGTTTTGCAGATCTGTCCATTCAATATGCAGTATTTTGTGTGGTATGTTGTGTTGTAGGCTGAGAATTTATATGTGGATTTTCCCGATTCCTTTGATGTTATATTCCACTGATCTCTCAGAACATGGTGGGAATACTCTGATTACCAAGACATGCTCAGAGCATCACAAGTGGAAAAAATTGACATATGTACTACTACACTCATTTGTGAATATCTTAGGTATGAGTGTGCAACAGAATAATTTTCAAAATGAGATTGTTACTACCTCAGCTGCTTCTCCCAGACAACAACAGGAATAAAGAGCAAATGGAGACTTTTTAAGTCTCCTGCTTTCTTAGACCCTTCTGAGAAAAAAAGACCAAGACCTCAGTAATCTCACATGTCTCTTTTAGAGTTTTAGAAGAGATCTCAGTGTCTCAAACTGTGCTCAGATTGGAATTACATGTAACTGTATATTTCACAATTGCGACTTAGTAATAGCAACTTTATATCTCATAATGCCAATTTATATCTCACACTTGCAACATTGTGTTTTGCAATGTAACTGCATATTTCACAATTGCATTTTTATTTTTAGTAATTGTGACTTTATATCTCGTAATGTGACTTATAGCTCATAATGTCACTTTATAGCTCACAATTGTGACATGGTTTTGCAATTGCGACTGTCTCATATCTTCACTTTATATCCTATAATTGCGACTGTTTTGCAATGTAACTTTATATTTTGCAATTGATATGTTGCAATTGCAACTAGTTTATTTCTAGTAATTGTAATATTGTGTTTCACAATGTTTCTTTATGTCTTATTAAAAAATATAAAAGCTTTTTATCTCACAATTTGGAATTTTTCTAACAGTTCTGAGAAAATAAGTCAGAGCTACGAGATATTGACTTTCAATCTCTGAATTCTGACTTTACATCTTACCATTTATTTTGTGTCCGCCGTGATATTCTGATATCTCGCAAGTTATTTTTTTTATATCAGAATTGTGAGAAAAAAGTCACAATTACTCTCATGTTTCGCTACTATGAGGAGCACGGAGATGAAGGAGCGAGGAGACGAGGAGTGGAATTCAAACATATAGATTTTAATGAACTTCCAGGGAACAAGGAAAACACACATAGCAAGGGTAGACATATACAGACACAGAACAGAGTCTGACATTACTCCCCCCTCCCGGAAGACGCGTACCACGCCGTAACAAGGTGGGCACCCTGGAGGCTGGTGCAGGACTGGGACATGAGGACTACCTCCAGGGAGCTCGGGGCGCCATGGCAGAGCAGGCAGTTCAGGGCGCCTTGGCTGAGCAGGCAGTTCAGGGCGCCATGGCGGAGCAGGCAATTTGGGGCGCCATGGCGGAGCAGGCAGACTAGGAAGCCATGGCGGAACAGGGAGCTCGGGGAGCCATGGCGGAACAGGGAGCTCTAGGAAGCCATGGCGGAGCAGGCAGTTCAGGAGGCCATGGCGGAACAGGGAGCTCGGGGAGCCATGGCGGAACAGGGAGCTCGGGGAGCCATGGCGGAGCAGGCAGACTAGGAGGCCATGGCGAAGCAGACAGTTCAGGAGGCCATGGTGGAGCAGACAGTTCAAAAGGCCATGGCAGAGTAGGGAACTCAGGAGGCCATGGCCTCGCCACTTGGCCAAGCCACTATGGACGGACCCATACTACACCCACCCCCCCCCCACACCACCAACA